GGGCCGTGACGCTTCATCTCCCGCCGCCGTGCGATATCTCGTTGTCCAACAATTTTTCTTCCATTTCCCAGTATCGATTATGCCTTCTCTGACATTGATAAGCCTCCTCAACCATTGATCTACCTTCTTCCAAGCTCCCTTGTCGTCATTCACGAAGATCCACGATCATCTTGCCAAAAAAAGCCACTGCAATCGTTTGACTTTCACCACTGATCTGCCACTTTTCGGCGATGCCTCAACTTGGCAGCTACCGATTCGTCCTCCCCAGCACCCGATCTGCCCTCCCCATCACCCGATCTGCCCTCCCTGGTGTGTCGCCGCCGTTCACCCAGTCGATCACTGATTTGATTTGGCCAGGGGTTGTGTTTGCTAGATTTCAAACTTATAAGGCCTGATGGTATTTATTAGGGGTATGTTTGCTAGATTTTAATCTTGTCAAACCATTGGTTAAACCATGACTTGGTCGCCTGAACGGGTCACTCCTTGGGTCGATTTTAAAACCGTGGTTTTTTCCCAAATAGAAATAAAAAATGTAAGGAATACAGATGTTAAGGAAAGAAACGTTGGTCCCATATAATGTAAAGAAATTTGAAATTTGAAATAGTATTTTTTATTCTTTATTTGTCTTTATATTTTATTTTTTCTCTTATAACCAATATTTTCATCTTAAATGAAAACTTTTAACAAAAAATTGTAAATGAGGATAAAAGATAGATAAATTTAACATAAGCTTTTCAAGACGAACAACATAAGTAGAATTTTGAAAGGGTTTAATCGGTTGTAAAAACGATAAATTTTTTTATTTTTCATTCTTTATTTTTGTGTTTTTAGATAAACATGCATGGTGAACGAGTTTTCATTTTCACATTTCAAATACGTTTTTAGACAAACATTATGTAGACGGTCGAAATTCTAAAGTTGATTCTTGTAGGGATGTGGCCACCGAAAACCTGTTAGACCTGCAAGCAAAGACACATATAAAGGGAGGATGAACGTGAAGTCCTTGACATTTGTGTGGTGTTGGTTGTAGGAGCTTCAACGCTTAAGTTAGCATAATTGAAAGAGAGTTAAGTAAGCAAGGAATAAGATAGAGTTGGTAGAAGTCACCATGAACGTGGAGCGATGGCACGACAATCGTCATAGAATGGTCAGAATTCGGTTGTACAGTGTGAAACAATGACAAAACAAGAGTTCGAGAATGAATTGAGCAATGTAAAAGTGAAGTCAAGAGTATGTTCGAACTCTTCTAAGAAGGTTGACCTTGATATTTATAGGCGGCTGGGGTGGTTAGAGCTTCCATGAGACTTAGAGTCCCTTTGAGGAGTGAACGTCGACTCTAAGTTTACTGACCTGGTAAAGATGTTGTAATCCCCTTTCGAGTGTCGTGCTACGTGGCTAGAGACCCGAAGTTTAATTGTGACTCATTTGAAGGGATGTGAGACTTGGTCTATATAGTCGATGATAGGTCATGTGACCAATGAGATGGTCCAACCCATAGAGCAACCCGACTCATAGCGTCGTCTAAATCGTAGGTTGGCCCAAATCATAGAGTGGGCCGACTAGTATAGTAGCCTAGCTCGTAGAATGGGCTGACTTGTGGAGTGGACTAACTTGTAGAATGGGTCGGCTTGTATAGCAGATCAAATTATAGAATGTGTCGCCTCATAGAGTGGATTTTTTACGGGATGGACTTTGATGTAGACCCAACCATTTGTTGGCCGTGGCGTAGGGCCATTTATAGTTGGGCCTGACTTGGGCCTAATACAAATTTTTGCCCATACATACTATGGGCCAATTTGGTACACAATTTTTCAGTATTCTATTCGCTATTCTATCCAAAATACACATTTATTCCCTTATTCTCAAAATATTATTCTATATTATTCAATTCCTTTTAAACCCCTTAGATTTGTTAATTTAATAAAACACCCCCCCTCCCAATTTTTTTTTTTTAGAAATTGACAAAAACACCCCAGCAACCCACATTTGTCGGATTCCGACTACCATTGCTGGAAGTTAGCCGAAATTTGGTATAATGGCACACTACTGGCTGGATCTGGCTGGTAGTGCGCCGATCTAGTCTTTTCCGGCCAGATCCACGATGGACTGGCCGAAAAAGGCCAGATCTAAGACCAAAAATCTAGCCCTAGCCAGTCGTCAACAACGGCCAAGATATGGCCGTCGTTGACCATTACCAACGGCCATATCTTTGGCTGTCGTTGACAACCAAATACGGCCAAATCTACCATGGATTTGGTCAGAAAAGGCCATATCGATGCACGACTAGCTAGATCTAGCTAGTCGTGCACAGATACGGTGACTCCGGCCACCCTTTAGTGGTGGTGGCTAGTTGTCGGTATTTAATGGGTGGGTGGGGGTGTTTTTATTAATTTTTAATATTTTATTATGAGGGTGTTTAGTAAATAAACAAACATATGGGGTATTTTTATTAATTTTCAAATCCTACATCGTAATACCCATCCAATTTTACTTTTTTCAAAATATTATTCTAAAAAGTATCAGAATAATGAACCAAACACACCCTTTTTTTTTTTTTTTTCTATTATCTCATATACATCGAAAAAAAATATCTTGATAATATTAATAAATTCAATGAATATACATTTTCTTTTGTAATTCTCTCATCAAATATTAAATTACGACAAGATTAGTTTGATAAATAAACTCGAAAAGTTAAATCAAAGGTTGAGAGGAAGCTTGTTATAAAAAATAAATGTGTAAAATATTTGTGCTTGCAAATAAATAACTTGTCACAATATGGTTTGGTTTTTATCAAATATATTCCCAATTTTGTTCATATTTGAAGCACTTGAGCATATAGTCAAATGTTTCACAATCAATCTCATTCAATAATCAAAACAATCATTTTATTAGTCCCATTATGCTATGGTGGGGAGTCATTTTTTTTGCCAAATCATCACGCAACATTTGAAATGATCTTTATCTTAATTAATATTAATCACACAAATTGTTTATACTCTTATATATAAACATTTAAAAAAAAAAATGACATGTATTTAGAAAATGAAAACGAGAAAATAAATTTAGTATTTTTAGTATTCGAGATTATACTCAAAACAATATTCTAAAACGAAACGTTATCGTAGAACATAAAAAAAACATTTAATTGATCTCTTCTTGTAGAAATGAGAAAACGAAATTTCCCATTTTTCAAAAACATTTTCTACTCATTTTTTTTTTTTTAAATGAAAACCTATAAACAATTAAGAGCATGATTGAAAAATGACACAAGCTAAATGTCACTTAAGCAACCATTTTGGGTACCTTTTCCACAAAAATCTTGGCCACAAATTGAATAAAGAATATGATAATCATGTAGAATTATTATTTTTAATTTATTCTAAATATTATTATTATTAAGTCATTTTCTGAAAGTTATGGCCAAATATGATGAATTCGTGGAGATAAAATAAAGTGAATTTATTGATAGCAAGTTAGAAAATAATAGCAACACAAAAGAAGTGTTCAACTAAGAACGTTCCCACATTGATAACAAGTTTGAACTACAATTATGGATAAATTTATTTACTATTGAGATTGTTAAGTTCGATCGTTACAACGATTCTTTTAAAATTATCAAAACCTTTAAACTGTTGTCAAAGATTCTCCCGTAAGTTTATCAAAAACTCTTTTTAGCGGTAGTTTTAAACAATTTTCAATATTTTTTTTAGTACCTTTGAGATTAAGATCTCTTAGAGATGGATAAAATTAATCTACCTAATTAATTATAAATATAATAAAATTTGTGCATAATATGATGATTTTAGAAGAAGAATTAAATTTTTTTTTTTTGTTTTGGTGGTTTTTTTTTTTCAATATTTGTGTAATTTGATGCTCAACTTAGACTTAGAGGCTCAATTATAAAGTGACAATGAAAGGAAAAGGATCAAGTAAGCTTTAAGATTATCAAACTTTAGTATAAACTAATCTTATCTTAAAATCAAAATTCCACACTTTAATGTACCCAATTGACTAAGTTTTTTCAATTCCACTTTCAATAACATATGGTTTGTGATGCCAAAAGATTATTTAACTTTTGGAAAAATTTATTTTAAAACAATTATATTATTTTTTAAAAGTGTTTTATTTTGTTTTTCACTTTCACAAATTTGTTATATATTAGTTATTCTCTAGTACGAACATCCACAAGTTTTTAACGTACGAATCAATGACTAACGATCAAACCACTTGTTTAACAAAATGCAAAAACCTAAACAAATGACTAATTATTGGGTTATATATATACTTCGATTATGAGTGTTTTAATAAAAATAAATTGTTATAAAATGATTTAATCAAAAGGTTAATTAAATTTAAATATATTGAGGAAGATTTTTTCTTTTGACAAGATCCAAACTTGAAGATCCCAAACTTAGATTTTAAATTAAGAAAATAACCATGCTTCTAAGTTTTTAAAATTAGAATATACTTGAAGCTTGAAACTAAGCTCAAATAAAATATTTTGATACTATTTAGAGGCACATGCCTACCATATGAATTATTAATGTATAATTAATTAGAAGGATTCCAATTTTTGTTGGTGAGATTCAATAAATTTTATAATTAATTAACTTTAATTAGTTTTATACTATGGTACAATAATTATTTGTTTACATGAAGCACAAATCACTATGTATTTAAATTGGTTTAAAATTAAAATATCCATCATATAATAAGCAATTTAGTTAATGTTGGCATTATATTATAATTATTATTACTATTTTTTTTTAATTCCATTTAAATAACACCACAAACAAATGTAGTTATAATAATATTTTGTAAATATATTTTTTCTGTTATTTATAATTTCAATAATATTATAATTATAAAATTAAGATTTAAACTAATTATAAATGAAAAATACTTTGCTTGCACAACTCTTCAATCATCCCTCCGTCCAACCACGTGCGTCGCCTGCTTCTCCTTCTGTCTGTCTCTCTCTGTTCGAATCACACTACAGACCAAAAACCAGAGAGAGAAAGAAGAAGCAGAAGAAGTTCTCTAATACAACAATTCAAAGCCTCTACTTCTTCACTTCTCTTTCTCTTTATTATGTAGCCCCCCAAAAAAAAAATCAAAAAAGTGAAAACAAATCAATGCACGCCTACAATCGACTGCCCAGCAGCGGCCACACCACCCCGTCACCGCCCGCCTCGCCGTTAAGGTCGCCACGTTACCGTCACGGCCGTTCCAAGGGGGGGCGTTTCACTCCCGTTGGTCCGCCGGGTCGCGGCAACTTGCCTCACCGGTTGGCTTGGCTTCTTTTGTCTGTTCTTCTTCGACGACAGGGTATCTTTTTATTCGCGCCGCTTATTTATATCTCCGGGATGCTGCTTTACATGGGAACGGTGTCGTTTGATGTCGTTCCGGTTATTAAACACCGGCCCGCGCCCGGTTCGCTTTATCGAAGTCCACAGCTTTATGCGAAGTTAAAGGCGGAGATGGATGCGGATAATTCCTCTGCTGATGCGGTGAGTTTTGGGTTTAAAGTTTGTGAATTGTGTGATTTGGGGATGTGGGTGTGATTTAGTTTAGTGATTTGAAGTGAATTTTGATGGATCATTGAGGGTTGAGATGTGGGCAACGTTGATTCTTTTTGTTTTGGATCTTAAGAGTTTAGTGGGTTTTGTGTTGTGTGTGATTAGATTTGAGGGGAGTTGATAGTGCATTTGCTTGTCATTGAATTTAAAGATTTGTTCTTGTTGTGTTTTATCAATGGAACTTCCCTTTTATTTAATGCTAACTGTTTTGAGGAGTAGTTTTAGCACACTTAATTAATCTTAGCAATTGGATTTTGGTTTTATATTGATCTCGAGTCTTTTATTTTGGAAAAAAAAAATCTTTAAATTGCTGCTTGTTGCTTCTGGTTGAAGAAGATGGATGGAGAATGTTATCTTTGTTGCTTCTGCTACAGTGAAAATTGTGACAATACTTATATGGATCTAAATGGGAGTGAAGCTATGCGATATGGGTATCTGAATTTACTTAGATAATTTATTAAGAAGAGTAACTTAGTGCTTGCATTTTAGTTTATATAGCTGGATACCGGCTCAAAAATGGAGGAACTAGGCTTTAAGGATGTGTTTGTCGGCAGTTTTGTGTTCTCTTTTCTCAAAAGCATGTTTTAAGAATGAGGATGCCAAAGAGTTATTTTTATTTTTATTTTTTCTGTGTTTATATGTCTCGTATAAAAGAAAAATACAAAGGGAAAATTATTGGCCTACATGATGTTCTTTTGTTGGAACAGTTGCGTAGTTAAGGTGTTTTTTCTTTATGCAATTGACTGTTGAGTTATCTCTAATGCACACGTTTCTGGAAGTATCCAGTTGGCACATGTTGGCTTGTATGTGTTGTATACAATAAGTTCTATGTCTTTGATCTATTCTTTTTCTTATTTGCCACCAATTACTGATTTGAGAGATTGATTATATTGTAGATATCAACTATATGGAAAACGTCCCATAAAGGTGGAGACTGGAAACCATGTATAAAAAAGTCTTCAGAAGGTATGTCTCATACTTGAACTTATTGCAAGTAAAGAAAATGAAGCTGTTCCAATTCATATTGAATTCCTGTCAAATTAATTATTGTGAGTTGTATTTTCATCTTAATTACAATGGGGCTTTAAGTTGATCTGGTTGCTGATGTTGCTTTCGGCAACTTACAGTCTGCTGGATTTGTTGTTGTTTGCTTCTATGCTTAATATAAGCTCATTTGTATGGAAGCATGTATATTGCTGTGGGTGATAGGATAAACTTTTTTTTGATTCCTATTTTTTTGTATGTTGTTCATATTTTAAGATGCAGTTCATGTTTTACTTGTTTTAGGTTTACCTGAATCAAATGGTTACATCTGTGTTGAGGCTAATGGTGGCTTAAATCAGCAGAGGATATCGGTTGGTTTTATTCCTTCTTTCTTTTTTCAATAAAACTTGCTAATTTTTTGGCTGTGGTGACTGAAGTCTTCTTGACATGTTTGTTCATTGTGGATATTTTGTAGATATGCAATGCAGTTGCTGTGGCAGGCTATCTTAATGCAACCCTTGTGATTCCCAGTTTTCATTATCATAGCATTTGGAGAGATCCTAGGTTTGTTGGCAAATTGTTATCTAATATTCATTTTGTTGGGCTTGGTCTTTGGGGTGAAGGGAAAGGAAATATAACTTTTTGTACTGAAATAGATTTTAGGATATTTTGCTACTATGACGTGATTACCTTGTTAGGCAACATTAACTGATAGCTGACAGTTCAATTTTAAGTTAGGCTCTTTTGTCCTCTTTTACTTTATTTTTGCAACCAAAAGGTCTTAGTACTATGTAATTGGGGGTGGTATAGTACCATTTCAGTTTCCATTAGTGTTTGTAATTAGTTATCTCGACCACGATACACATACACACACAAATATTTAGAAATATATATTTACATTTGTTGCAAGTATGACATTCAAAGTTTACTTTTCTGACTGACAAATATTAGCATTAAAAATCTACCCAAACTTTTCTTTTTGGGTATTAAGTGATTCTCTGTCTTTTCGTTTTATTATTATTTATTAAGGATGTCTTCTGTGATTGCTTGCTTGAAAATTTACTGGTGGTCACTTCTTAACACAAAGTAAAAAATGCACAAACTTAAATGTGAAATTATATTTTGTAGCTGCTCATTAAAGTTAAAAAAAAATAAAAATATTATGTTAATGCTTCTTTATCATTAGGTAATCTTTATATGATGTTTATCATTGGTCAAATTTTTGAGAGATTTCCGGTTGTCTTTTCCTGTGAACTAGCATATTGATTCAGAGCTTCCTACATATGAACTATAAATTGTGTAAAACTTTTTTTTTGTTGTTGTAAATGAGCAGTTAGAGTTGAATAAAGAATGTATAGTCATGAAGAGTGCAGAATATGTAGTTCATTATATTGTATTTTGATAATTCGTATGTGTTCAGGAGTGTTATATTTCACTGGTACCAAGTATTTCGTCTTTCAAGTGGACTAAATTAATGTGATGGTGCAATTTCTTTTTCCAGCAAATTCAGAGATATTTATGATGAAGAGTATTTTGTCAGTACCTTGCAAAATGATGTGCGGGTGGTTAATAAGATTCCTGAATACATAATGGAACGTTTTGGCCACAACATGAGCAATGTCTACAACTTCAGAATAAAAGCGTGGTCACCCATTCAGTACTATAAGGATGAAGTTCTCCCGAAGCTACTTGAAGAAAAGTGAGTGAGAACAATAAATTTTTGCAGTTCTTTCCCAATTTCAAATTGCTTACTCAAAAAGAATTGTAGTCATGGTAAATCTTAATGCTGAGAGATGGAAATTTCTAATCAACTAAGTTGTGTTCATAAACATATGTTTTCTAACCTGTCCTTTATCTTTTGGTGATAACTCATTATTGTTCTTGTATTCTACAAAATTGTCTTTTTGGGCAGTTTTTGGTGCTTGTCATATAACCAAGTGCTTGGTCAACTTGGTTTTAGCTGTGATAATTGTATGCTGAATTCAATGGGATTATTAGTGATTAGGTAATTTTTTTTTTTTTTTTTTTTTTTTAATTTGTTTGTTATTATTACAATAATTATGCAATACTTATGTGATTGATGTGGCACTCAATTCAACAAAGTCTTGACCCTACTTATTTGGGGTAGGAGGGCACGTTACATAAAATTTCTCTTTGACATTTGACTGCTTTGGGATCACTATTTTTATGGTCTGTTTTTTGAGATTTAATCCCTAACCTTTTCTCCCTTTGATGCCATGGTCCCTACCCTTCTGTTACAACTGCTTTGGCGTATTTATTTTTGGTAATTTTGATAAGCTTTGTGGTTAGTACTTGATTTATTACTTTGGGTTTTGCATGTCCATAATGTTTTGTTAACGTTCATGTTTTGATGCATGCTGGTGTCGTTGTCATGGCTTGACATTGGCATGAATCTACTGGTGTCATGATGCATACCATTTTTTATTATTTCTGATTCTTGGGCAGAGACAATGATATCATTTTGTAGATTTAAAGTATCTTTGTATCCTATGATGGAACAGGGTTATAAGGATCTCGCCTTTTGCAAATCGTTTGTCATTTGACGCTCCTTCAGCTGTCCAACGACTTCGATGCTTGGCAAATTATGAAGCTCTAAGGTTTTCAAGTCCTATATCAAATTTAGGTGATATATTGGTTGCTAGAATGAAAGAACGCAGTGTGAAGCATGGTGGCAAATACATTTCTGTGCATCTTCGCTTTGAGGAGGTTAGTCTTCATTATGGAACAAGTTTTGTACCATCACTACAGTTTATTGTGAGCATCAACTATGGGCTTATCATCAAAATCTTAGTTGCAAGTACATATTATGTTGTCACATGAGCAGGACATGGTTGCTTTCTCTTGCTGTGTATTTGATGGCGGGGAGAAAGAAAAAGAAGATATGAAAGAAGCAAGAGAAAGAGGTTGGAAAGGGAAATTTACAAGACCTGGTCGAGTTATACGCCCCGGAGCTATCAGGATTAATGGGAAATGTCCGCTTACTCCTTTAGAGGTATTACCTACTGGTTTTGTATTGTTTTGTTGTTATATAATATTGAAGGTTGCAGCCACAAATTTTGTTTTCAAGCTTCACATGTTATGTTCGCAAAAACATTGTGTATATATATATTTTTTTCAAGTCATTGTTTTAGTTTGCATAACACCTTTTTTACTACAATACTTTTTCAGAGTAAGATGCAAATATAATTGGCCATCAAATGCCTGCTTGACCATTGATATGATGATTTTTTTTTTTTCTTTTTTGTATTTTGCATGCAAAAGAATTTATAGAAGCCATATCTGTCTTATCTGCTGTATAATTTGAAAAAGTTACGTTGCTGCAGATGTGGAGGCACATGAAATTTGTTTGCTATGCTCATTGTCAAGCCATAGAAACAACTGAATGCTGGTTCAGTTGTTAATGCTATCTTCATTGGCTGTGACTGCTATAGATGATATGCCAGAAGTTCTTTTCTGGAAACTAGGACAATTGATAAGTTTGTTCCATTTTTTTCAAGGTGGGGTATGGGGTTGTCAGTTAAGGGCTAAAATGTTTCTTATGTTCATTAAAAAGTCTTGTTATGCATCTCAACTGTGAATTCACCAGTCAGCCTTATTGTACGTGCCAAAATATATCAATCAATATATAGAGGATCTGATTAGCTTTTGTGTCATTTACTTGTATATTATTTTTGTGTTTGTGTGTGCAGGTGTTTTCAGTTGAGTTTATTGTTTATTTCACATTTTTTTTATCTCATCAGGTTGGCTTGATGCTTAGGGGAATGGGATTTGATAAAAACACACATATTTATTTGGCTTCTGGAAAGATATACAATGCGGAGAGGACAATGGCCCCGTTATTGGAAATGTTTCCAAATTTGCTAACTAAAGAGATGCTGGCATCAGATGAGGAGCTTGCACCTTTTAAGGTATGAATGGTTTATGGTTTTATTTCCATTTTCTAAAATCTTTGAGGTGCGATTTAATGTCATTACTTCGGCTTGTGTTATTGCTTTCAGAACTATTCTTCCAGGATGGCTGCTATAGACTATACTGTTTGCCTCCATAGTGAGGTCTTTGTGACCACTCAGGGTGGAAACTTCCCTCATTTTCTTATGGGTCACAGAAGATTCTTGTTTGGCGGACACTCCAAGACAATCAGGCCAGACAAGCGAAAGTTAGCTATACTTTTCGATAATCCAAATATTGGGTATGCATTTGATCTTTTCTCATAACTTTTCTTTAGTTCAAATGACTGTTACCTTTTGCAATTTAAGGTATGAAACATTAGGAATGAGGCAAATTCATTCGAAATTCAAGTCCGGCAACCTACAGGAATACCTTTTTTTTATTTAATACTGATCATATTATTTATTGGTTGTTGAACCATGCCAGAACTGAAGCTCTGAAAGTTTCTATAGGAAAATAAAGGCATAGTAGCTGCTGGCAACAATTGATAATTGACGGTATATAAGCGCTAGATATTGCCTTAATTTTTCTTTCTTTCCTGTTTTAGATGGAAAAGTTTCAAACGGCAAATGCTGAGTATGCGGTCTCACAGTGATTCCAAGGGGTATGAACTGAAAAGACCGAATGACTCAACCTATACCTTTCCATGCCCAGATTGCATGTGCCGTACAAACAAATCGGACGATTCAAAATCATGAACTGCTACGTTTATTCGCTGAGAGAAAATTTTGATGGGTGAATTTTTTTATACCTGTAATTTTGTGAGCATATCCTTGCTGCTGACCCCCTATTCGTGTTGTATTCTTTCATTTTTTCCCCCTTTCCATTTCGGCAAGAGGGCATATACCCTTCAGTTTGGGAGCATTGACGATTCATTGGAGGTTACATTGATCTGATTATTTCCCGGGATCGCGTCGAAGATGAGTTGCATCTTTTTTGTATATGATGCCAGAGAAGAAGAGCATGAAACCAACAAGCTTACTTTCTGTTGGAGGAAATTCCCGGGGCGTTGATTAACCGAGCAATTTTTTCATATTGGCTTATTGCAGCTGCTGTATCTAACAAGCTGTGAAAAATGACACCAGATTCTTTCAGAACCCAGTGGTTTCGCCATGTTTGTAAATTTCTTGGAACTGGATTTGCTTGTGTAGAAACTTTAGAAACAGAAAAATATAGATTTGGTGTACATTTTTTTATTAGAAATCACTATCGGGGTATTGATTTTTGATTCTTTTGTGTATCATTTGCCTTCAATTGTTGACCCATTTTTTATACCATCTTTATTATTATTATTATTTTTAAACATTCATACGATTATCAAATAGTATCAAAAATCTTTCTAGTACTAGTATATGGTACTTTCAGTATGTAGACCAAGAAAAGCACATAGAATTAAAAGCATGACTATCATGTTTCTAAAGAAAAAAGTTAAAAAGAGTGTTTGTTTTATCTAAAAAAGTACTTTCCTAAAAAGTGCCTCTATCAGGGCTTTCTAACAAGGAACACGTGATATTTGTTATACCCAATCTCACAAATATTAGTACAATTAATAACTAAATACCTAGTTGATTAATTAGAAAGAAAAATACATAGATTCAGTTTTAAAGATTAATTTATATTTGGGTATCAATCATCTTGAATGAACCTTTCTCTTTCTCTTTTCTTCGAGTATGCAATTCAAAGTTAAAACAAGAGATTGAGAGAATGAATTTTTTAACAAACTGAAAATATTATTGATTTTTCTTCAAATAAAAATGTACATAAGCTTCTCTTTATATAAAGAAATTCGGATTTCAAATGAATTGAATCTGTAAAACAAAACAAAAGGTCTAATCAATCACCAACTAAAGGTGACTTGTCAAACCTACAAAGACTAATAAACTAATAAGAAAATAACATCTATCTCAAATATAATGACACTAGGGCCCACATGTCTCCCACGTGTCTTACAAAGATATAATTATTGCATTACATGTTTTACATATCAAAGTATAATTATTACAAACGACAATACACAACATCCAATATCTTCTTTTAATCTAGATCGTTGAATTATGTCGGCAAAATCCTAGATGTCCATGCATTATCTTCCGCTTGTTTGATACACGTCAACGTATTACGTGTTGGACATTTTCGGTTGTCCAAATCTTCATCCTCTAGATTTTTATCAATCTTTAAGTTATCCACTCTATAAGATCAATAAAATCCTTCAGAGTCTCATCTTCTTGGGCTTCCTAGTCATGGGCTAAGACCATTCTCAGAAGATCAATAGTACATTCCATTAAAGTCTGCTTTGATAGATGGGCTAAATCAAACTCTCTAGTAGCGTTCTTAATTGGGCTTAGTTATGTTTGAAGAGTATATCTTGGATTGTCGCATACTTGTCTAGTAAAACTACCACTATCTCAGTATGGATATGGACAATAGCATTTGCTTTAACAAGCTCTTCCCGCTTGGATTTAACCAGTAGCAGTTTTGCAATATGCAACCTGGTCCAATCTTCCTCTTCTTTCCTTTGAATTTCTTCTAGTGCATAAGATCCAATTCTTACCTTGTTATCTAACATAATTAGGTACCATGGTTCTCCTACAAGAAATTCTCATATCTGTACAGGTTGAACATTATATTTCTCTTGCAATAAGGAAGTAATCACGCAAGTGAAAGTGTCGACCTTTACATTTAATACACAGAGCGTTTGTTAACTGCGTCTGGCATATTCGGGTCCATCATTGCTTCCTATACATCAATTTCCATTGTATCGATCCATCCTCTATTCAAAAGGTTTATGCAATAACATTTTCTAAAGGTTTTCCATGGAATGTACAATTTCATAGCGCCATTAGGATAAACTGCTAATCATTGGACCCAATTTGCCAAGTCAGTTTTTTCTTAATTTCACTATTAGATCATTTAAATTCTCGAGTTTGAGATTATCATGTCAAACAAATGGCATTTTCTCATTACCTCAATTTTTTGAATTCCTGCTTCATAAAGCAAAGCAGTTCCTCTAAACTCCTCGTCTGCATAAAACAGTTTGTCAGCTTTCAGCCAAGCTATCCTTCTTGCTAACTTCTCTAAACACCTCTGCAGTTGTACTTCCCCTTGACTTGTAGCCAATGCGATTTTAATTTGGGTTTCCAAATCCTCCTAGAGTTTTTGACTAGCCGGAGTTAATCTTAAGCCCTCTGGAAAGCTAAACCTCTCACAAATATCCGCGACAATTAATCGCTTTTGTGGAGTGTATAACAAATATTATATGGGTGTAATGGTATCAGAGCCTTGGAAGATGGGGGGTATCTAGACCTGTTAACCTGTTGAAAGTTCTATAGCATGAATAATGGTTCAAATGATGAAGTCTGTGTAAACAAGACTTGTTTTCATCTGGATCATGGACTCAAGGGAAAATGTGAGATCGGTTTGTTAAATACTGCCATAGATAAGTTAGAGTTTTTGACCCAGAAGCTTGATAACTGAGACATGAGAGTAAATTATATGGTGTATCATATATTTGCTCTAAACGAAGAATTGACTCAGATCAGAAAACAGATTGAAAAGGTCAATTCTGCACTTTAAAAGGTCAAGACACTTGAACACATCCTAACTATTGTACTAAGCCAGTAAAATAGGAGATGTCCTTGGTTCTAAGTGACATTGAACAAGTGTGGCCTATTGAAGAATATAAGGAACAAGAGGTTAAACAGGTTGTTTTAGACCTCTGTAACGGAAACCTAAATATTTGAGAAGAGTATCTGACTTGGCTGGGAGTAAAGCGACTTTGGATGTTATCCAAAAGGCCTTTAGTCAAGGGTGCTCAAAGATTTTATGCTTTATCTGTCGAATTTCAACCATTGAAGTTGCCAAGTTGGAACTTCAGAATAAGTGGTTGGAAAAGGCTGAGGCGGTAATTCCTTATTGGTACGGTGAATCCCAACCAGAGTAAGATCCTAAACCATATAAAGAGTCAGACTTTGTAGCTAGCTTAAGGATTGATTCAGATTGACCATGGGTGGTCAAGAAGTTCTGGATCAGTTTGCGCCAAGTCTATAGGAAAAACATCCTGGATTGCCTCCAAGGTATGCCCAGTTCATGGCCAAAGAAACCCAAGGTGATTGGAAAAAGGCGGAAAAGCTTTTTATGAAATGAGTAAAGGAAGAAGACTTTGTTTGTAAAACGGATGGCAAATAGAAGGTTGATATTCTAGAAATTTCTACCTCTGATGTTGAAAGAATTAGCAGGTATTATGAGGAAGAAATAAAGAAACAAAAGAAAGAGGAAGAAACTAGAGGTTTGAAAATTACTCCAAGACCTAAATAGGCAGAGCTCGAAGAGCTAATCTCTAGATTCAGGGAATCTGAGTTTAAAGATGACACGCTTAAAATAATTCGTAATCTTTTAAATTCCTTCAAAGGATTCCTTAAGGAAATCTCCAAACCCGAACATAAAAAAACTTATCCCACAAAGATAAGGCTAGAGTTTGTACTTAGGGGAATACCTATAATGGTGAAGATACGGTCTAGTTGTAGTTTCCTAAACATCGATTGCGTCACAAATGTTACTGATGCAATTGAAGCATGGGAAACTGTTAACTGGGTTCATGTGCAAAATAAGGCTTTTGGACTCAGTGATACTTATAGATTTCTAAGATCCACTCTACAGGGAGCTGCAGGAAGCTTCTGGATAAGTTTAAAAGCTAGTACGGGTCTGTTAGATATTGTAAAGGACTTGAAGAATGCAGAGGCTATTTTTGCACTCTTCAAGGATATGCTCTGTCAAGAATTTAATGGGATAACCAAAACCAGTAGGAATCTTGTAGAGGTAGTTGCCTTAGAAGCTTTGATAAAACTTAGGCTTTGTGACATGTGTCTGTTTGAAAATTTTGTCTGCGAATATAGACGATATTTCTATCAGTTGCCTAGTGGCACACAAGAAGTCATGAAGAATACTTTCTCTGCTAAGCTTCCCTAAGGATGGGATAAGGCAGCAAACGAGGCGCTTAAGCTCCTAGTCGAAAAGAATCAGGTTGTTGATTCTTCGGGAGGACGGATAAAAGCTGTTAGACAACTCGTGAGAACAAGATGTTTGAACATCAAATTGGATAAAGAGGCCAAAAGACTTGAGTTCAATGAATCTTGTTGTCAAAACTTTGATGGAGTGCCAGGACAATATGGCTGTGAGTCGAGGAATTCGACTAAACGTCAAAGTTGGAAAAATCATATGAAACGGAAAGGATCATTTGGTAAAAAGAATTTTAAGCTGAAACGTTTCCGTAATATGGTAAAAAAACCTGTTACCAATAAACAAAATCTTCCATATCATGGAAGGTTTATTAGGCGAACAGGGAGGGGTAGACTCAATGCTAAGGAACATGGAGTGCATAAGTATTGTGCTACCTAGCCATCTGGTGAAAACGCAAAAGATTGTAATTGTTGTTGGATTTGTGGTGACAAAAATTATTTTGTGGATAAATGCCCTCATAAGGGAAAGAAGAAGGCAGCGATAGGATTTTTGGAAGTCAACGCTGAAAGCCAAATTTCTGAATTTGAGCCAGTTTGGGGATACGAAATTGATTCAGATGACGAGGTTTATGAATTAATTTCGGATTACTCTGAAGATTCGGATTCATAGGAGGATGACTCAAAAGATATGACTTTTGAGGAACAATCTTCAAATCTTCAACGTATAGGTATATTCATGCAAATGACTAGAAATCTTAATGAATATCCTAGGAATAGTGGAATTGGTGATGAGGATGATCTTATCCCAATTAGAAATGAAGATGAAAATCCTAACTTAGTAATTAGTTCGTCATCTAATTACGAGGATCACTCGGGTAACTCGGATAATTGGGTAATTCCGAGGTTAACACCTAGAGAAGTTTTCGAGAAACGCTCTAAGTGGTTATTTAAAGCTAAAGGATTGGAAGATGTACACAAAAAACCTGTTCATGTATCTTGGAATTGGTACTCTTGAACGATGAGTGGCTATGGAAGGTTAGAAATCTTGCCAAACGAGCAAATGGCAAGTATAATTATGTGCAACTTGGTGCTGTACAGATACGTGTACAAGGATTATTCCATGGAGGAATGAATGTGCCTGTTTAGGTTGCTTTGCTGAACAGACGATGGATTATGTTTGGAAAAGCTTTAGTATGTGGTTTTCACGCTAACCTAGCTTTGGGAGATGCCTACGGGACTGTTAAACTAGGACATATGGTTAGTCTGCAAGATCCAAATCTTAAACGGATTATGGTTCTTCGAATTCATACTTAAGGACTAGAAGACTTAATGGCTTCTAGTGACAGAATTGCAATCCAGTATAGGTTGATTTATCGGTTGATAAATTATGTTAATCCTATACAAATGAACTCCAGTGCAGAAACTGAGGTTCATGGCCCGTGACAGGATTCTATAATTCCAATTTGACCTATCGTAGTTAATGTTAAGGCTCTTATGTGGCCGAAACGATGGGTTTAAGAATATTCGACGAGGCCTAGCGTGGTGGAATTAAACCCAAATTACGGAATTCAGATCCAGGAACTTGATAATGAGGTTGAGGTTACTCTTCCTATGCCTAGAAACTCGGTGTCTTTGGAATGGAATAAGGAAATTTAACCTATGATATCGAGGAAAAATATACCGGAAACAGATGACACTACTAGTGATGCTGGGAGCAACAGTAGCAGAAAAATAGTTGGATATAAATTTGTACAAATTCCAGTATATGAAGACAAAACTCCAAGCACAAAAATGATGATGAGTTATGAAATGCATTGTTATGCGCTAGTTCAAGGAACTATTGAAACTTGCATTCGTGTTAAACTGTGTTTTCCAGAATATGAGGAATATACTCTAGATGTTCTTATAGACAAAGGAGCAACCAAATGTATTGCAAGAAAGCAATAGGCTCCGTTTGGTTCATTATTGGATAGTTTTTAGAATAATATTTTGAAAAAAGTTAAATTGGGTGCGTACTACGCTGTAGAATTTTGAAAATTAACAAAAATACTCCTTATGTTTATTTATTTACTAAACACCCCTATAATAACCCCCAACCCATTCATTAAATAAGGACAGTCGGTCACCACCATCGGAGGGTGGCCGGAGTCGCCGTATCGGCGCATGACTAGCTGGATCTTGCCGGTCGTGCACCGATATGGCTTTTTCTGACCAGATATGGCCGCATTTGGTCATCAACGATGGCCAAAGATACGGCTGTCGTTGATGGTCAACGACGGCCGACCATATCTTGGCCGTCATTGATGACTGTCTACGATCAAGGATCTGACCGTTGACGGCCAGATCCACCGTGGATCTGGTCGAAAAAGGTTAGATCAGCACACTATTGGCCAGATTCAGCCGGTAGTGTGCCATTACACCAGATTCCGGCCAGCTTTTGGTGGTGGTGATTGGAATCTGATAAATTTGGGTTGCTTGGGTGTTTTTGTCAATTTTTAAATTTTTTTGGGGTTTTTTAGTTAAATTAACAAATTTAGGGGGTTTAAAAGAAATTGAATAATTTAGAATTATATTTTGAAAATAGGTGAACCAAACACAAATTTTGTGTTAACTTTATTCCCAATATATGAACCAAATGAAGCCAATGTTTTCCAGAGGGACTTTGGAAATCATTGGAAAGACCAATCCTAAATACGGTTGCAGATGGAGGTTAAAGTATGATCACGAATGTGGTTGAAGATGTGGTTGTACTATTAAACGAGAAAAAATTTACTCTAAGGAAAGTCCTAATAGTGGATTACTTAGAAATAAATTTTATTCTCGGAAATAGCTTTCTGCGAGGGCAAGCAGAAGTTAGACCTTTTACTTAGGATAACAACCACATTATCCGTGGAGGTCATAAAATCCCTATTCTTGCTAAGCCTGAAGTTTCGAAAGTTAGAAACAGTTTTAGACCGGTGAAACTAAGGCAAGAAGTAGATCACATTGCTTTCCAAACTTTGGAAAAACGAAAATGGTGGTTGAAAGCTTTTGAAGCAGAAGGAATGGATGAGGCTTGTAATGTTTTCTTTCAGAGATTGTATCCTAGTCATCATATAAACCAGATCGCACGAGGTATATTGTAGGAGGTTGTTCCCTCTGGTGCATGCCTTGAGAGCACAGATAAATCAACAGATAAGGAGATAATTTTAAAGGTTGAAAGCAAGAGCCAAAAGAACTCTTTAAGGATTGAGGAACTTGTAAAATCCTTTAAAGAGGACCTTTCTCCATGATTTGATGATCAACCGCTAAAGCTATGGGAAATGAACGGTATATATGCTTCGCTTAAATTAAAAAAGGATGATGATATGATAATTACCAAATCCTATCTTTATACTCCTGATGCAGAGTAGGAATTTAGCAAGCAAATACCAAGATTGTTGGAAAAGCAATTAATACACACTAGTGAAAGCCCGCACTCTTCACCGACATTCATGGTTATGAATAGAGCTGAGCGGGAAAGAGGCAAGGCATGGATGGTTATCGATTATAGGCAATTAAATGATAAAACTACTGATGATGCCTATAAGATACCAAACAAATCAGCTTGTTTGAATAAAGCTAGATTTGGAAAAATCTTTTCAAAATTCGATCTAAAGTCAGGTTTCTGGAGATCAGAATGGAGGAACAAGCATTCCTTTGATGGCTTTCACCTGTCTGAAAGGATTGTTTGAATGGATGGTTCTACCTTTTGGGCTTAAGCAGGCACCATCAATATTCTAGAATATCAGGTCTTTGGAGACTTATATAACTTTTGTGTAGTCTATATTGATGATGTTCTGGTTTTTAGTAAGACCAAAGAAGAGCATGTAAATCATCTTAAACTGGTGGTCAAAAGGTTCCTTGATAATGGAATGATTCTATCTGAAAGAAAGGTAGAGTGGTTTAAGAATAAGGTGAAGTTCTTAGACATTGAGATAGGTGAATGAGATATTCAACTCCAAGAGCATATCTCAAAGAAGTTGCTGAAATTCCCAGATGTGCTGGAAGATAAGCACATGTTACAGCAATTTCTTGGATTAACTAATTATATGCGCAAGTACATTCCTAATCTCGCTAATGTAATCAATGGCTTGACGCTTAAGGTTAGTGATAAAGTGCCTTAGGTTTGGACACTTGAAGATACTAACTTTGTTAAACGGACCAAAGCCTTGACAAAACAATTAAAACCTTTAAAAGTCCCGGAAGATAAGGATGTGCTTATTATATAGAGTGATGTGTCCCACTTATACTGGGGAGGTGTGCTTAAGGCTAAGGGTACAGATAATATTAAACGGATTGTTCGATATGCGTCAGGGAAATTCTCTCCTGCTGAGATAAACTATCCTGTTCATGAAAAGGAAGTTTTAGCAACGAAAGAACATATTGACCGATTTCAATTGTTCGTAATCAATCAGGAATTTACTTAAGGACAGACTCTAAATATTTAAAAACTTTTATGAAAGTGTCTTTAAAGGATGACAAAGCTAGACTAATCAGATGGCAAATTTGGTTTGCAAATTATAGAATCAAATTTGAATATATTTCTGGTAAATCTAACTTGGTTGTTGACTTTTTGTCCAGACATTTCTCTGAAGAATTACAAGATAATGGTGGACAAAAAGGAAACTGGAAATTACTTCTCATGTTCCAAGTGTAAACAACGAGGACACTTGAGAAGGAATTATCCCTTGAGGATAACTTCGGCTACAAGGGTTATTACTAAAAGGGAGAAAACTGTGGATAAGCAGGTTACTGCAGTAAAGCAAGTTAAAGAAGGAAAGAGTCAAGACTATGACTCTGATACTTCAGAAAGAAGAAGGTACTTCTACGAAAGAAGTTACTTCTGAAAAGGAGGTTACTTCTAAGAAGGAAAAATAGAAAACTCAGAACAAAGCAATGTTTTGCTGGTCTTGTAAACAGGAAGTGTTAGAGTAGATGCCTAGAGCCAATCAATTATTGTAGAATTGATTATTTGTAATAATGTTCATT